AAGGTGACCTTTTAAAAATCTGCACTTAGTTCACTGTCCATTTTGCTACAGCAAAAATTGGGGAAAATACCAGAAATCAGTGGCAGATCTAAAAAAGACACTGGGGAGGGGACATATTGAATAAGATAACGGAGTGGGAAGGAGATTAAGTGGCTAGCTCAAGGTCACACAATACATCAGTGGCAGAATGAAGTATTTAACCCAGCTCTCCTGGCTCACTTTTCAGATGCAACACAGCAAAGCTAGGAAGGAGCAAGAGGAGGGGCAAGCTGTCTTAGTCATTTGTGACTAACAGCAGTGAGGGAGCAGAGATGCTTCACTGCATCCCAATCAAGATGGAAATAAAGAAGGGAGCTGATAGATTCAGTCTTGTCTGAGATCCCTTCCTTCCAGAGTTGCTAACTAAGCCTCACCATGAAGAGGCAGTTCCCACATCATCTGATCGAGGTTTGTGGGTGGAAAAGGGCAGACATAGCTGCACCACCCCCCTTTTGTTCTGCCAGAGAACTTACTCATTATTGCCAGCTTCTCACGGGAAGATGTCCCTTTGGGGTGCAGCTCCTTCACACCTGCTCCAGTTATTCAAGCAGGATCCTGAATACACAATCCACCCCAGAACAAGAAAACAAAGTCTTCCTTATAAATAACCAATGTTCAAGCTAGGAGGTTTAACTATACCCCTTCGTTTCAGAGCAGGGTTTTATCACTCTCCACAGAAACCTAGCACTGCAGAAATTAGCAGCAGGCAAAAAGATCTCTCATTTAATCTGTTCCCTTCTCTCTCTCTCTCTCTCTATATATATATAGGAGAAATATGACACTGCAAACCTTGCTGAAAATGCAGATAGAGTATTTTATTTTCAGGAAAACCATAGAAATGCTCAGTTGATTTTGGGCTTGCCTGGAAATAAATATTCATTCTGTGTTTACAGCAGCATAAGATTGCTTTTTAGGGCTGAATTCTAATGACCCCTGGCTCATTAGCCCTGGATTGAGACAGGCGCAGATCTACCTTACCTGCCGCTGACTTGGAATGGAAAAGGAACAGCACCATGCAAGTCACTTGGAGGATGCTCGGGGTGAAAAAAGCCAGGGCCATTTGTAGTCAGTGCCCCGAGAAAACTGCTACTGTCTGTTCAGCTCCGATAGCCAGACTTCATCTTCCAAGTGGGCTCCACTCTGTCTCCAGGACCGGGAGGAGGTGGGTAGCAAGTAGTCACTACTGCTGTCGCCTAGAGGCAATGTGGATGTACTGCACTGTCTGGTTTTTTTTTCTTGCTTTTTTTTCCTGGCAAATCCTGCCCACGCCTAACCAGTTTAGAAAAGTTGTATTAGACACCTGTATAAACCAATGGATTAGAAAAGGAGGCAGAGAAAATCCCTATGGGGGTGCTAGTGAAAAGCTCCTACAGCTGCAAAAATTTTGAAAACAGTTTTCTGGTACAAGGTAATAGAATAAATGTATTTTGGTATGCGTGGCCATGTGTATCTTGCAGACTTTTGTATAAAACACCATGTTAAAAGTTACAACAGACTGATTTCTGTAGGGCTTAATATTCCATTAGAAAACAGGTGACGTAGTCTGCCCAAATCCTGTATCATATTCCTGATGGTTAAGAAAAATGCTGCCTTAAAAATCTTTCTAAAACAGATGAGTAATGAATTTGAGTCATACACTCATAACACAGTGCAAACCAATAACATTTAAGACCCCAATCTTGAAAACTTGTAAGTCTCTGGATGCAATTAGACTCATACAATAGACTGGAACTACTCCCATGCAGAGATACAAACACCTAGGTTTTGGCCTTATTTTGCATGAGATCCTTCATACAAACTAGATGACACTAGGATTTTGGAGAATCATGGCAGGCTGGGTGGATTAGCTGCTTTTAATAAAAATATTTTATTGTACAATAGTATAGTACAAAGCATAGATTGAGAGAGATGGGTACAGCACAAAATATGAAATAGCTACTTTATTATTAACTAATTGCTCCTTGCAGTATACCTTGCTAAGTTGGATGACACTTCTATAGTTTGTCATGCAAATAAAGTTTCTGAACTTGACTGCTATCCAGGAATACTTCTTCCACAACCCATCTTCCAACGTTCATACTTTATTCCCTTCTATTTTCTGTTCTACACCCCGCTTATTAATCAAAAGCCACTGAACCAGTAGAGCTGTCTTTCAAAACAAATTAGGCAGAATTTTTTTTTTTGTTGCTTTCATTAAAATCCAGCTGTTGGGTCCAGTACAGGTCTATGGAAGAATATATACTGATATCTCAGTCTGTGGATCTTCACCCAAAGAGCGGGGTAAAAATGATGATACACAGTACAGGCCAACAGGGTATTCCAGCAGTTGACTTTCTGTATCCCGTGTTCTTGCTTCATTCAGCTGTCCCCGTCTCCTCCCTGCTCCTGTTTCTAGTGGGAAAAGCTGTGTGTGGCCGATCTGTTGAGGCATCTTTGGTCTCGGCATTGAGAGCCAAGCGCGTGTGGCTGTGCAACCTCCGCTCTAGCACACAGCCCGGGGAGCCTGTCGCTTTCACAGCAGGGCGGATGCTCCGCGCTGGGAGCCGCTCTGCCCGGGAGCTCCTGCGGGGCCCGCTACAGGGCGCTGCCCGGGCCCGCTGCAAGGGCCGAGGGTAAAGGCTGGGGCGGGGCTAATGGACAAGCCAGGCCGGGTCTGGGCGCTCTGCCTGCGGCGCTAGCTGCTGGGCTGCCCGGCCGCGCCCCCCGCTTTGCGGCCGGAAGGGATCCCCGAGCCCGGTTCTCGCGTGTGGCGCGGAGGGTTCGCAGCGCGCCCAGCCGGGCCCCCCCTCAGACCGTGACCGGCGCGCTGTTGGGAGGGGGAGGGGCCACCCACGCGCGCGGACTAGGGGCCGAGCGGGGGGATGCTGGCGGGGCGGGGATGCGCGTGCGGGGGCGGGGAATGAAGCCGTTCGCAGGCAGCGGCGGCGGCCGGAACTGAACCCCGGCGGCTTCCGGCGTGCGTTGGGGGCCCATGCGCCGCGCCCGGCTGCGGGCTCAGGCCGGAGGGCGACAAAGGAGGGGCTCTCGAGCGAGGAGGCCGCGCAGGGAGGTAAAGCCCGGGGCGGACTGCGGGGCAGAGACCGGACTCGGCGGTGGGGGGAGCTCGGGGACTAGGCCGCGGGTCGGGGTGTGTGTCTGCAGGGGCCGCGCAGGCAAGTCCCGCAGAGGCCCTGTCGGGGGCTGCCCTACAGCGGGGTGCGCGTGTGTGTCTGGGGGAGCCCTGCCCTAGAGTGAGCTGGGCGCCCTACACCTGGTAGTGGGCGCTGGGGGAGACTGCCCTGCTGGTGATGGGCAGGAGTCTGGCGTTGGAGTATCGGGGTGGGGGTGAGGGAAAGGAAGTGAGGGGTGGGGAGGCTTAGCTTGTGGGGCTTAGGGATCTAAGGCTGGAGGGTCAGGAGATCTGATCTGAAAGGTTGGGGAGAGGGCACAGATGCCAAGGGCTTTGACCTCAGAGCAAACCCGGGTTGGTAGAGGGAGATGCAATATCACCTTTATGCCCATCTTTAAGATCCATAACTGGTTTCACACAATTACAGAGCAAGAGCACTAGCTGGAATGGGGTCAGCATAGATGGAGTCCAGTCAAAGAGAAAGTGGCACCCTCAATCAGGAGAGAGCCACCAAGACAGAGAAGGTAAGGATAGAGAGGAGCTGAGACTTCAAGGTTGTATTTCCAGTGCTGTCATGAGCTGCCTTCCTGTTTAGGCTAATCACAAAACCTCAGTGCTCCCTTAGCTGTAAACGAGGTAGTTCTGTAATCACAAAAATGTCAAAAAACTCCTGTAAAGTTCTGTCACATTTTTGCGATTACAGAACTACCCATTTTACAGCTAAGGAAGCACTGAGGAACAGAGAGGTTTTGTGATTAGCCTAAACAATCAGTATTTGCATAGACATTAAGAAAGATGTAGTTAAAAGTGCAGTGTATTTCTATTGAAACATAGATTGATTTGAAAGCTAAATCAAATTAAGATGTTGGATATGATAGAAAATAAACATGGATTGTGAAATGAGGTCAGCAGTAAAGGTCTGTAACACAATGAAAACTAAAACCAACTGAGACGCTACTGCTTTGAAGTTCTTTTTACATATTAGGAACTCAGATCATGTTTGTGGAAAAACTTGATTGAGGTACCCTGAAACCTTGTTGAGAGGTACTTAAAAGGACATTATCAATTTGAAATCTAGTCAAGTTAAAATATGTTGTTACACTTTTTATGTTGTGTATCTTCCTCTGACTTCCCTATGCCAGTTTGTGTGCCTTTATCACTGTATTTTCCTAAATCTTAAACTGTTATTCTCCCCTGTTGCCATTTGATAGACCCATACAAAGAAAATGGAAAACTCAGTATGCAAATCTGTAAAAGATGAAGTAACCTTTTTTTCTCTTATTTCAGTTAATTAGAATATAAGTTGCAATTGTATGTAAATAAATATGACAAATATGACTTTTAAATTGATGGTGCCCCTTTAAAATAAGATGTCACAGGACTAAATCACCAATAAGCTGTCATATTTACAATGTTTTTTTATTTTTGTAGGTGGGCTGATTTTTTTCAGTTTTTTTTAATATACTCAAGTCTAGTCCAAAACAAAAATGGCCTTTGTTTCAACGCAAGGGCCCACCGTGGTTGACCAAACCACTTTGATGAAGAAATACCTCCAGTTTGTGGCTGCTCTAACAGATGTTAATACTCGTAAGTTTATTTTCCATTTCTTAAGGAAATGTGATTCTTTACTCATTTGCTTCAGGGAGTTCTGTAATATTGTCTACAGAGTTGGTTGGTAAATTTGAATGGAGTTCACTTTGCATTTTCTTTATCTTTGATTGTTTGAAGAAGCAAAATGATGAGCATTACTTACATGAGCCTTAGAGTGAAGTGTGTGAGTATGAAATGTGAGTATGAAAGTGTGTGATTGATTTATAACTGGGCAATGATAGCTAAACTGATAAGATCTGATTGCTTCTTTTACCTGTGAATGTTTGGTATTTGTCAGGTTTTTGTCACATATATTTAATTTTTCACTCAAATTTGTGAATTTTCAGCCGATGAAACAAAATTGAAAATGATGCAAGAAGTCAGTGAGAATTTTGAGGTAATTGCAAAATTAATGTATTTCTTGAATGATCTAAATGCCACATTTCTTGTTCTTGGTGTGTATGTCATCTGGATTTCTGATCCTGTTTTTATTGTTTAAAAAGGAAATACCGGTTTTCTTTGTTAAACACAGAACCAAAGAGTAATGGCTATTAAAAGTTAAAACATATACTAATTATTAAGTTTAGAGTGCATTACAATTCACTTGCAGAATTATTAGAGGTCCGTAGCTTGTAGCCTCCAGGTTTTTTTCTCAAATATTTGTTTGAACAGAAAATCTTTGTTTAGTACATTTTGAATAAAGAAACTAATCAAATGTGTTTACTGCATAACCTTGATACATTTGTCTGTGGAATTGTTTCTCTAATGGAGTTCAGATGCACATTTAGCTCTCCAAGAAGTGGTTTGCTTGCTTTTTTTGTATGCAACAGTTGAGAGGTGAGAAGGAGGAATTGTCAAGTGTGGATTCCTTCCTTGAGGACTGCAGTGAAGTGAAGGTGATAGCACTGACCCTTTTCAGTTCAGCTGATCAGGGGAAAATACCTTAGGTTCATTTGGGATGCTTAAGAATACCACGTAGAAATACTAGATTTGCCATTTGTTGCTCAAGAAATGGCACCATTATACAATATTATGCTAAAATCTGAATGGAATCCCCTGTTTTTATGTGTTGCTTTTATTTAGAAGTACTGAATTCTAGGTACTTTAGCCGAATAGAATTTAATCTGGAATACTTGGGCAAGTCTATCCACATTAATAAAAAATGTCACATGATATTTAATGACAAATATTGAGGATCTCCGTTCTATGCTATACCCAAAGGTACATTCTGAAGAATGGTGATCTCTGACATTGATATCAAATGAACTGCCACGTGGATTTCTCATGAGTACTCAAACCTAATGCTTTTAAACTTAGGAGCACACAACTCAAGCTTGTATAGCTCCCTCATAGAGAAAATAGTATCAAATACAAAAAAGCCAAGTATTGAAAGAACATAGGCATTACTTTTTTACATGAATACATACATATATTTTTTGTGTGCCTATGCAACTCTGACATCTGTAGCCATCTTTCATATCTGTCTATTGTGCCTGTGTGTCAGATGAATTTGGAATACCATTCTTCAGAAATTGCTGCAGGAAAGGAAAACCTTTTTCTCTTCTCCCTGTTCCAGAGCTGCCAAGTTGCTGGAAAGTTGGGAAAGAGATAAGAGGTCTTGAGTACTTCCCCATACTCTGTTTTTTGAGCCTGTGTCTCTGGAGTTGCTCCATGTCTTTTGGGCAGTAGCTGAAATCAACATTGACTAGATTCTTCTGAGTTTTGCCCTAAAAGACTCTGAAGAGCAATTCTGAAATTGACCAGAGTCCTGTTAATTTCAATGCCCCTCTGCTTCTTAGTGAAGATATATGGGAAGAATTTTTATAAAGTAGGAGCAAGACCTGCACACTTGTTGCAGCTTTTGCTTCTTGCACTGGTTGCTGGGGCCAGCAAGCATGATGGATTTAGTGCCAGGGTGAGCAATAAAGCAATGGTAATTTGCCAGGATTAGTTTCTGCTGGGCCACCATCTCTTTAGTTACCTGGGCCTCTGCTATTGCAGCTTCTGCTGTCTGTGGATTGCTGTTCCGGGCCAATGTAAGCTGCAGGAAGCAGTATCCCGGTCCACACTGCTTCCTACTGCTCCTATTGGCTGGGAATGGTGATCCTTGGCCAAGGGGAGCTGCAGTAGCCTATACCTTCAGGGGTGCAGGTAAATATAGAGGCGGCAGCCCACTAGGGGATAACCCTGGGGATCCAGAACCAGTCCATGGGCCAGTATTTGCCCATCCTTGGTTTAGTGACTATCAGATGTTGAGGGATGTCTCTTGTGTGCCCCTTCAGTGTGCTTGGCTGGGGGAAGAGGAGGAGGGGAGACAGTTGAGCAGGGACAGCTTGAATTCTCTGAGTTCTTCTGTAGGGCTGGGGAGTCAAAAACATCACCAGAGAGCAAGAGAGAAATCAAACGGGGGGAGAACATAGGACTGAGGAGAAAAGGAGGTACTAGATGAACAGCTCCTTTCTTAGTTTTGCAAGGGTGCAAGAAAAGTCCTGCAGTTGCTGCTTCTGAGTCTCAGCTGATAAGTGCTCCTTTTAATTTAAACAAGTTTTAATATATGTGTCGCTGCGGTCCTCCTACTGTCTTTACCTGTCATCTTATGGTTGCACTGTAAGTTCTTTGGAGCAGAGACTGGCTTTGCAGAATGCCTAATATAGAGGGATCATCCTGGTTTATGACTGGGGTCTCTAAGCTCTACTGCAAGCCAAAAAATACAATTAGGAGCCCATAGGTTAAAATGGACTGGCTGTGTAACATGTTCTCTAAATATGTGAATGTAAAAGAGGCATGGGAATAGATAGCATTTTATTAATTTATAGTTTGAAATATTTCAGCTGCTTTCTTGTTTGAGCTTAATCTACACATTTGTTAGACATTCTCGTGTACTTTGGCTAAACTAGGCTTCTGAATTAAATGCAGCACTTACAATGGAAGCAGCTTGCTCTTCTGGTACTGCATAGCAAACAAAACAGCAACATGGGCTCAGACTTTATAATAAAAAGAAGTAGAAATGATTAATTCTGACTCTTGTGGAACATAAATCTAAAGAAATAACTGTTATCTGCACTTAGCT